TTTTGCTACTACTAAGCTACTATAACAACTACTAGGCTTAGCTGAATTGAGAACATTGTAACAATACCCTTTCAAAGCTCAACTATAATGTCATTATTATACTTTTTAATGATGTTCTATTACACTAGAAATCAGCTCAGATACACACAACCAGCAACAACATTCAGGGTAAAATATTCTACTATTTCAAGATTTATTTGAAAAAATATTGTCTCTGATGCAGTGACACAAATAGAACACAATACTGTACATATAACACTACAATATGTCACTGACCCTGAGGTCCCAGAACCTGCTCCCTCACATCTGACATTCTAAAAGCTTCAGTCTGCTCTAAACCTCAGCCTGCTACATGTGCTGTTGCTTCTGAACAAGTAGTATTCTGAATGGAAATAGCTCTTCTTTAAACATGTTGCATACCTTTGTGTGAGGTGATAGTGAATCAGTGAGGACACAGTGAGTGACTCAGACAGCAGGGGGCAGTCTGTGTGTGACCTCTGTGTGTACGGATACCTTGTGTGGGACAGAGCGGGCATTTCCTGGAGCCCCTCAACAGCTCCTGAGGTCTCTGCAGCATTAGAGTCTGTAGAGCTGGCTCGTCACTCAGGCTAAATGCTGTCTCTCCATTGTGGTCCATAAGCCACGGGTCTGCACCATGCTTTAGGAGGAAGCTTGCAATCTGCAGTTTAACACAACACAACATTTTAGCACAACACAAAGGAATCTTTTACCACAAACACATCACTGTTAAACTTAGTTACACTTAGTCCACATATCACACCTGCACATGTCTGTTTTGAACAGCATAATGCAGAGGGGTGACTCCATTTTGTCCAGCCACATTGACCGAAGCTCCAGACTGGATCAGCCACACACAGGCCTGATAGTTTCCACGGACCACTGCCTCATGTAGTGCTGTCCAACCTGCAGCAGACACAAATGACAGAATCCTCCAGAGAAAGGGGGTTGAGAGAATGTGCTGAGGATGGGTGCTGGCCTGTGTGTTGAGGGTGAGTGCTCAGGGCGGGTGTTGAGGGGATGCGTGTATTGAGGGCATATGCTGGGTGCTAAGTGTTGAGGGCAGTTGCTGGGTGCACGTGCTGAGAGCTGATAGTGGGTGCTACGAGATGCTATGACATGTCATACCTCCATAGTCGGTCAAATTGACATTAGGATTGAGCTGTAGGATGGCTCTGATCTTTGGGTTGTCTCCTTGCATTACGGCCTGGTGCAGCATGTTCTCACCAAATAGACTTCTCCTGTAGACGGTGCAGAGAGACAGGAGCTTGCCTTCATACATCACTGCCCGCTTGGAGCGTGTCTTCTCACAGACCAGGCCTACCGGCACCTACATTTTAGTCTCTTTTTCACTTTAGACCACAGGTGTCAAACATAAGGCCCGGGGGCCGGATCTGGCCCTCCAAGACCTTTAATCTGGCCCTCGGCTGATTTTCTACTAAAATATTGTAATTATATTTTCTATTAAAATATTGGTAATTTTCTGTTCCGCTTAGCATAGCAGTGTCTCCCATGCCTCTGTACGTGGCCCCTCCCACCAAAGCAGCACAAATGAAGACTTGTCTCTTTCCAAACGCTCTTAAAAGGACGATCGTTTTGACTGTTGACCGTGACACCCTCATCAGCAAAATGTCAAAAATGAGAAAAGTGGATGCCGAGTGCAGGATTTTCCAAGAAAAATTGACTTATTCCTATTTGCAAACAAGTTAATGTTAAAACATTGTATTGAAATAGCATTTTTTTCATAATATTATAATATTTTGTAAAAGAAAGAGTTCATCAATTAAAAAAGATTTCTGTAATAGATTTGCATTTCTCTGCACAAATATTTGAACTTATTGCTGTTTTTGGGGTATATATGCCATAAGTTTTCTGATCGGGCCCCTTTAGGATCAAAGTAGGCTGGATACGTCCCCCGGACCAAAATGAGTTTGACACCCTTGCTTTAGACTCTTCACAAAGAACTAAGAACGTCTGGAGGTGCAACTCACCTGTGTGTGGGTGGGCTTCCTCAAAGCATGTGTTTTCATGTACATTTGGTCTACTGTAAAGCAAGAACCCATTATAAATATAAAATAAATATAAACAGTCTTCCATAAATAGTCCACTTCCGTCTGTTGTAATTATGAATGTGAGTATACAGTGTAATTAATGACTCATCATACTAAAAGCTTTGTCTGACCTTGACCACTCAAGGCCAGAGCCTCCTATCACTACTACAGTAAACACTACTGATAGTGGACACTTGTGTGCTGCTGCAGAGTCTGTGTATGCCTCACACACTTACCTGTCTTCTAATGGAATCCATTGTTTGAAATAAGAGTGTTCACATGTTATGGCTGACCACTCCCACTGCGGTGGAAAGGGCCACTCTGCAATCACACACACAGGTCATGTTTACATGTTACATATACTGGAGACCCAACCTTGATCATAGTTACTGCTTGCTGAACCTTAACCTATTTTAACTGATTTTCTGAATTGTAGATCATGTTATTAATCTAATAATGGAGTTCATACACCACTTTTCCAAAAATTCTAATATTAAAAGTTTAAAGGCATTTGCAGAGGCTAAGCAGCTATGGTTTATAAAGTCTCAGAAAGAAGTTTTAATCAGATTCATTAGTTACCACCTTCACTGATTATTTGTTTGTTTTTGTTTTCTTTTTCTGAAAGTCTATATAAAAAAAAAATGAGAGCTTTACTTCCTTAATTGTTAAGATTCATAAAGGATTTATTGTTTCCATAAGAGAGGCAGATCCTATGATGTGAGGGTGTACAGATTTTAGTTCCCACATAGTGATATTAACACATCCACACACGCACACAGATGTCACACACTAACCATGTGGCACAGGCTCACCTTCACATGGCTTCTTTAGGATCAATGCCAAGGACACGTTTAGAGGTTAGGGTAGAGTTAGGATCAGGGTTAGAGGTGGGGTTAGGGTTAAGGTCAGCATTACAGGTTACAACTAAGTTTAGACTAGGGTTAGGATGTGGAGCGCGGTGTAGAGGTGGGGCGCGATCATTGCGGCTTGTGGCTATGTTTCTGTTTTGTTGTTCATTGTAATTGTGAAAATAAGTCACATTTATACTCAACAAATTATGCAGGTAAAATGATTATAACAATTATTTTTGCCACCATAGCCTGAACAAAATATAATGGGAAATACTATGTCAGTTAGTGTGAAGAATACTGTACAAACCAGAGTGTGCTGCGGTGATCTCACTGCCATGTTCCAGGGGGCGCTCCGTGTCCCTGTTACTACATCATACAGGTTTGAATGAGGTATCTCCATATGGACAGTGATTTTCAGTACAACACCCACCTGCATGCTGCTGTGGCTGCTTCTCCACTCAACATGTTTCCAGAAATAACACGACTGGCAAAATAAATACAAATACAAACGCACAACATCAAACTTATACAATATACTTTTAGAAAGTAAAGCCTGAAGATGAAAGCACATCTGCAAAATGACTAACTTATTTGATCATAATAATATAATATATTAACATGTTTTTATTTGTTAAAGGCCCCATATTATGCTATTTTCTGATTTATGTTGAAATCTTTTTTAACAACAGTATTCTAACGCGGCTTAAGCTCACAAGAGTCGTTTAAAATAGGTCCTTTAAACACCTAGCCTGATTCATCAGCCGGTTAGTCGCTGGAGAGAAATGAGCTTGAGCGGAGGCACTAGGGGGCGCCAGCCTGGCTGTTAAACACCAGCTTGACAGCACATTGCACGGGGCTGTAGTTTATATAGACATAGAATGTACACTGGTGGTTTTCAGATTTTAGAATGTGATGATGTCAATCTCAGTCTTTCCTATTAACTGCATTGTATTTTACCATGCATTATCAGTAAATAAAAAAAAAGAAAAAAAGTTACCTCATCAAAGTACCTCATCATTTTTTTATAAGTGACTCAGGCCTAGAATTTGCTATATTAAAACAAAAATATGCAGTTGAATACTAATTAGTCTTCCCACATCTGTATTAAATATAACTGCTGTTTTTCAGATTCTAGAATATGAGGATGGCAGACTTACAAATGGGGAAATAGCTAATTTTTCCCTATTAATTACATTGTACTTTGCCATTAAATATCCAAAAGGAAAATTGACAAATACCTGATCATTTTTTATTAGTGACTAGAGCTGAGAACCCCTGTATTATCCCGTAGTACAACAGAATTCTGCATTTCAACAATATTCATTTTAGCTCTTTTGACGTCATTTGTAGCTATATAATCGGAAAAGTCGCTTGTAGGTTTTTGTTGTGCCATAAGCAAAACTGTAGTATGTTCCAGAACAGTTTGGACCGAGGCGAGCCTCACACAAGCTGTCAAAAGAATGTACAGTCTTTACGTCTAAGTGCACTTTCAGGTTGTACAAGGAAAATAGAAAATCCTCAAGGCTGCGAGGTTGAAGCTCTAGTGACTCAGACATGACACTATGGCCCTATCAAACTATGAGTATAACTATTTTACCTCTGAGAAATACCTCCTCCTCTTGCTGGTTGAGTTCTATTTGTTTTCAACTGAGAAAAACACAGGAAATATATCTATATACGTATATATATATATATATATTCAACTATTTTTATCTAGAGGCGGGAATTATTGCGCAGGCGCAGTATCTGTCTCTGATTCCATGAACGCGCTGGACATGATACCAAAACTACAAAACACCGTGGTTCTGTTGATCTCCGGGTGACACGAGTGAGTGTGGATGTGTGAGGTGAGTTTGTTAAGATCTGTGTATCTGTGCATTTGTTTTCATTCTTGGCCCGTACACAGCACGTGCTGACCCTGACCCATCCTGGCCCGGGCGGACCCTGACCGATACCACGAGAGGGAAGTGAGGCTAAAATCAGAAGATCAGGCGGTCTCCTGTAGCCCCGCCCCCTTGCGCTGTCGCCACGGAAACGGGGCGGAGTGAAAGCTCTCGTGGAGCAGTCTGCAGCTCTGATTGGCTGAGGAGTCGGATGATGGTGGAGTGTGCCATGGTTCTATGTGGGGCCTGAGCTCCTGCTCAAGCCGCTCAGAGCGCCTCAGTATCGGCCCCAGCTCCGCTCCTCCTCCACTCAGAGTGCGGCTGTTCCGGCTCCAGCTCCTCTCCGAGTGCTTCTTCTGCTGCAACTAAAGGTGAGTTTCCTTTAAATGAATGTTTTTTGAATATAATCATTTAATTGTTCAATCTCAAGTTCATTAATGAAGTTTACACTTTGCAAGCTGCAAGAGTTTGACCAAACTCTTCAAACTAACTCTCCAAACTAATCAGATGTGATAGTAATTTTTTCTGTCATGCTGTCTAATAAAAACTCCCAAAAAATCTCAACAATTAGAATTAATTTATAGTCTATTTATTTTGTAAAATTTCACCCTCTGATTTGTTAACTGCAGATAACTGATATTTCGATAAGTTTATGTTTCTAAAGGTTTAGACCCACAAAATACACCAACATGGCGTCATGCTCAGTTAGCCGCCTATGCAAAGAATGTAAACTTAAAGTGTTACCCATGCTTATAGACCATAGAGAAAGGACTTAGTTAAATTGGATTGGAAGAGCGATAATTACAAAATGACAGTTAGAGTGGGCAGGTTTTTGTTGTGGTTTTGAGCAGTTGTGGATCTCTCCAGGACCTGTCTGAAGCATGCTGACCCGTCTGTTCCACGCCCACGGCCTGCTGGTGGCCTCTCACCCCTGGGAGGTGATCGTGGGCACCGTCACCCTCACCATCTGCATGATGTCCATGAACATGTTCACCGGCAATGACCAGATCTGCGGCTGGAACTTTGACTGCCCCAAAACCGACGAGGTGGGTGCGCTGCGAAGTAAAATCAGACTACTGTTGACCAAAAATCTGCTAAATACTTCATTAATATCATTACATTTAACTCTTAAAAAGTTCTCAAAATCTGTGTGAAAAACATTGTACCCTTATACACACAGATATTTCAATCCTTTTACATGTGTTGATTAAGTGATTACATTTACTTGAGTAATTTGCCCCCTGTCCCTGTACATATGACGGGGTCTGTGGTATTAGAATGAAAAGGGTTTCTTAAAATAACAGTAATTTTGAACATCAGCTCACTCATGTCAGTCAGTGGGAAAATGTCTCCTGAGTCAAATGAAAATGATCCAAAGCTGCTCATTTCATCATATCATTTACTATTTCATTCATAATTTAAAGGTCCTGTATTATGCAATGACTCATGTTAGAATGTTGTTTCCTCCTCAAAAACTTACCCGGAGTTGTGTTTTGTTTCATTAACACATGTTTGAGTTATCCTGCATTATTATGCTATCTGCATCCCCAAAACTCAAAATGCTCAGTTTCACCTTGTGATGTCATTTAGTGGTAGTTTTAGGTTACAATAACAGTTAATTTCGCCTCAATCAAACTGTTTTAGTCTTCAGTACTCTAGAATAATGTCAAGTGGTTGCTGTTATTTTTTAATATTTATGTTTTACCCTTTTGTGCAGTTGAGATGGTCAGTAGAAAGTCTCTAATATCTGCTGGTGCACTGAGGAGTGAAGCAGTTTGAATGAGGCTTCTAACTTCAAATCCAGGGCTGAAATTGGCAAAATGATTCTGAATGCATAGCACACTCAGATGGCCAATGTCCAAAAGTTTATTTTTTTTTTTTTTTTTTAAATAACATTTCGACGAAAAACCTTTGTCAGATCATTTTTTTCCTGTTTAGGACCAGAGTATACAAAATGGATGCCAGCCAGGTGAGCGTGATCTGACGAAGGCTTTTTTTATTTAAAAAAAAAAAAAAAAAAGTTTTTTGGACATTGGCTATCTGAGTATGCTATGCGTTTTTTCACATTGGTAAACATGTGTGAATGAAACATAGATGGTATAAAGAAGTAGACAAAGCGAGTGTGACGTCACCCACAGCGTTCAGCACCACTCAAATGAAGCTCGCGCTGCTCAGGGTTACAGGAGCCAATTTGGAGCCAGGCTCTATATTAGGAATAGGGTTTTAAAAAGAGCGACAAAAGGATCATGTCAATGTGAACATTTTAAGACCAAAATAACAAGGCTCACAACAGCAGTTACAGAAGGAGGGGCGACAGTTTTCCAATGTAAATCAATGGGAGCCAGGGTCAGAAGGAGCAGAAGAGCCACATGCGAACTTCCTGTTTGGAGTGCGGTGACTAGTTCATATATACAGTCTATGGCAGGGGTGTCAAACTCATTTTGGTCTGGGGGCCGAAACTAACCTGCTTTGATCCCAAAGGGGCCGGATCAGAAAACTCATGGCATATATACCCCAAAAACAGCAATAAGTTCAAATATTTGTGCAGAGAAACACAAATCTATTACAGAAATCTTTTTTAATTGATGAACTCTTTCTTTTACAAAATATTATAATATTATGAACAACCTGAAACTTTAAGAAAAATGCAATTTCAACACAATGTTCTAACCTGAACTTGTATGCAAATAGGAATAAGTCAATTTTTCTTAGACAATCCTGCACTCGGCGTTCACTTTTCTAATTTTTGACATTTTGCTGATGAGGGTGTCACGGTCAACAGTCAAAAAGATCGTCCTTTAAGAGCGTTTGGAAAGAGGCAAGTCTTCATGTGTGCTGCTCTGGTGGGGGGGCCACGCACAGAAGTGCTGGAGATGCTGTTATGCTAAGCACTGCAGAAAATTACCAATATTTTAATAGAAAATATAATTAAAATATTTTAGTAGAAAATCAGCCGAGGGCCATATTAAAGGTCTTGGAGGGCCGGATCCGGCCCCCGGGCCTTATGTTTGACACCTGTGGTCTATGGAATAAAACAAAACACAACTCCAGGTATGTTTGTAATGAGGAAATATCATTATAACGTAGATCTGAAAATAGTGAAATATATTCCCTTTAACAAGGTTTTCATTTTAACAGCAAATCCTCAGCAGTGACATCATCATCCTGACCATCACACGCTGCATTGCCATCATCTACATTTACTTCCAGTTCCAGAACCTGCGGCAGCTGGGATCCAAGTACATCCTGGGTAAATGTGTCTTTGTCAGTACTGTAGCAGCTCCTCCTTCTCAACATTCACTATGTTTACCTGTGCAGTAGGCCTGTCACAATAACTGTTGAAGCATGATGTGTTGCTACAGTCTGTTTCAACATGTGTTGAATATTGCAGTAAACACATTTTTAAATAGACTGTATCATTAAAAGGCCTGAGCTGCAACAAAAACTGCAGAATGAACCAATAATTAGTCATAGAAGTTATTTATCCAGCCCTCTACACCTCAAATCTTACATTATTACATAAAATGGCAAAAATCTCACCACTATTACAAAGAAATACACACACACTCAAAAAATATGTAAATCCCAAAATATATTAAATGATAAGTGGATATAGTGATTATGCACAGAGAACTCTTGCATGCACTAAATAATCAAATTCAAATCATCTTCAATCCTGTCACAACACAACAGCAGGCAGAGGAATTTTGGATAATTGTAACTTGTTTCATAGGGTGTGTCTAATGTAAATCAGACTATGCTGTTACATGCAGCAGGTATCTGAGTACTTACAGACTTCTCCAGGTGTTATTGGGATCTTTGAGATTTGATTTACGACACCTCATCATAGTTCCTGGTTTTACATGCATTTAGATAAATCAGTTTAAACTGGACTAGGCCAGTTATGACTGACCTGCTGGACCTGTGTTTCTCTGTAGGCATCGCTGGACTCTTCACCATCTTCTCCAGCTTTGTGTTCAGCACTGTGGTCATACACTTCCTGGACAAGGAGCTGACTGGCCTTAAGTAAGTTCACTGATGTGAGCTGTCAGTCATATGGGTTTAGATTTTTAGAATTATTTAATCTTTAGTTCCTTCAGTTCACTTCAAATTATGAATCGGATGTTACGTCCCGACAGTTACTCTTTAAGTTACTCTTACTCAGTAAACTGAGTACTACCTCCCTCTGATTCTCAGGCTGGGCACTTACCACATTAAGCAGAATTGTGTTTGTGTTTACAGTGAGGCTTTGCCCTTCTTCCTGCTCCTCATCGACCTGTCCAAAGCATGTGCACTGGCCAAGTTTGCTCTGAGCTCAAATTCTCAGGTAGGTCCAACTTTGTGGGAACATCAGCCCCACAGCTCACCCTGCCAGTGCCAGCTAACCCCGGTGTTCTGCAGGAGGAGGTGAGAGACAACATAGCCCGTGGCATGGCTGTGCTGGGGCCCACCTTCACCCTGGATGCCCTAGTCGAGTGCTTGGTCATAGGAGTTGGGACTATGTCAGGTATGGCTGTAGCCTACTTTTCTACTCTTGTTTATTGTAGAGTTTACATCATGAGGTGTCACTTAAAGGACTGTATCTGATTTTGAATCGTGAGCACCATGACAGTGTCAGATAGTTGGTTTTCCATGATTCTTATTAACAATGCGGCTGCTTGGACGAAAATATGTGCCATCTGCCTGTAGCATCAAGAACAAGATCTCGTGCCACAAGATGTCATGAGATTAAACTGCTAACTTTGCTGAGTTATACTTCTTTAGAAACTGTAAAAATAAACTCCAAAAAGCAGTGTTACAGTAACAAGAAAATATAAAATAAATCATAACTTGGGAGGCCAACACTTTAAAATGTGTTTATTAAAAATTATATGAAAAAGGAAATGTCTCATTCTCATAATCCAAAATTTGTCTCTTGGAAATTGTGAATCGTCCCATCCATAGTGACTTAGTGTACTAAAACTCTCAGAGTTGTGACTGTAAAAGGTAGTATGGAGTGTTGATGTTGATGTTTTATGCCCCTCTAAGGAGTACGTCAGCTGGAGATCATGTGTGGCTTTGGGTGCATGTCAGTGCTGGCCAACTACTTTGTGTTCATGACCTTCTTCCCTGCCTGTGTGTCCCTGGTGCTGGAGGTACGGGTCACACTACACCATTTTCTGACCTATGTCATAATGTTTCCTCAGCACAAATAGACCTGGAGTTGTGTTTTGTTTTATTTACACATTTACACACAAATCCTGCATGTTTAGGCTATGTTTTTCTCCCAAACAGAAAACACTCTGTTGCACCTTGTGATGTCATGTTGTAATACAGAAAGTGCTCCTTTGTGTTTTGAAACTCCATACTCCTTAACTTGAATCATTTCGATAATTGCAACTTTGGAATTGCCAATCTGGCTGGCCTGGGAACGCCTCGGGGTTCCCCCGGAGGAGCTGGAGGACGTGTCTGGGGTGAAGGAAGTCTGGGAGTCCCTATTTAGGCTGCTGCCCCTGCGACCCGGCCCCGGATAAGCGGACGAAAATGGATGGATGGAATTGCCAATCTACGGAAGCCTAGAGGGGTCACAACAAATGCAAACGCCACAACAAATACAAATGCCACAACACAAACGCAAATGCTGCAACACATTAAAAAGCCACAACACATCAAAAAGCCACAACGGAAGGGACTGCGGGACTCCCTAACCCGGACCGATGAAGCGGCAAGTGAAGAAGAAGAACTACAACGTGAAAAGTAAAGGAACAGAGAAGTTGGAAACTTGAGTAAAAGTAATTACAACTACGTTGTAGTTCTTCTTCTTCACTTGCTGCTTGATCTGTCCGTTGGAAAATAGAGTTTCGCGGTCACTTCCATTGTGGCTTTTTAATGTGTTGCCGTATTTGCATTTGTGTTGTGGTGTTTGTATTTGTTGCGGCATTTGCATTAAAATAGAGTCCCGCGGTCATTTCCGTTGTGACTTTTTTTGGTGTGTTGTGGCTTTTTGTTGTGTTGTCGCATTTGTATTTGTTGTGGCGTTTGCGTTTGTTGTGATCCCTCTCGACTTCCGTACCAATCTGAAGGTAAAAGGTAAAACAAGCTTGAAACTTGAAAAGAACAGAGTATTTTGTGCTTTGGAGATGTAGACAGACTAATAATAAAGGGTTACTAAAATGTGTGAATGAAACAAAACACAACTCCAGGTCAGATTTGAGGATAACATGGCTAAAAGCTCACAGGAGTCAATATTGCATAATAGAATACCTTTAATTATGACAAAGACAATGTATTACAATAATGATGAGCTACAGTTGTATAGTTAATAATTATGCATTAGTCTTATGTAGCTCTTTTCCAGAAGCCTAAAATTAGCATTATTTATACACTTGGTGGTGATACTATTGTAGCCACAGCTGATGGAAACAAGCCTGCCAGTCTCCACCATTCCACCAACACTCACTCACACACCTCATGCATACATGAAAGATGCTCTAGCCTTTCTGTAGTGCAATAAGAGTAGATGCAAATGCCGTGTTTTTGCTGCGCAGCTGTCTCGGGAGAGTCAGGAGGGCCACCCAATCTGGCAGCTGCACCACTTCTCCAAAGCTCTAGAGGAAGAGGACAACAAGCCCAACCCAGTGACTCAACGGGTCAAGATCATGGTAATGTACCTTCTCACATTTGCTCTGACGCTCTCTTCTTCTGTGTCTGATGGTGGCGGAAGATTGACTGAATATGTGGACATAGCTAACCTGCTTAGACGCCATGTTCCAAATAGGAAGTGAGGATGGCCGCGATTCAACTCCAGTTCACTTGCTATTGAAAAATGTCTCTCTGTAACTACTGCTGTCAGGCTTGTCATTTTGGTCTTAAAATTCTTTAAATTGTCTTTGATTGACAGCTATAGTGCCTCATTTTTAAGCCCCCGTCCTCTGCTAAATGGTGTGGGTAGGAAGGGGCGAGTAACTTCAACAACCTTGTTCCTGATTGGCCCTTTGGTTTCTATGATACACGCATAATGCCAAATATGGGACTTTGCTCCCAATTAGCAGCTATAACTAGCCCCGATTGGCTTCATTTGGCTGGAACCGAACGGTGTGGGTGACGTTACTCTGGCTTAGTTCCCTTCTTTATACAGTGTATGTGTCTGAAGCTCTCCTCTAGTGTGGGTGATAGAATTGTCAAAAATATTGAAAATCAGATACTAATCGATCTTGTATTTTAATATGCATTGTCCATTTAATAAATAAATACAAAATGCAAATACTCTTACAGTTTTAAAAGCAGTACTAGAATAGAAACAAAAATATTAAATCAAATAAATAAAAAAATCTATGGCCAAAATAGGAAACTGAATCATGAATGTTATTTATATTACGAAATGATAAAATCTCATCTTGTCCCAATCTCGTTTCTTGTCTTGAAATTGTGTCTCATTCCATCGCTACTCAACAGCTTTAGAATGATCTTGAGCTGTATCAGAACAAGTAGAAGAGCACATAGATTAGTACACGCCCGTGGACACTATGGAACCTACCTGGACCACTGAGGATGACACATATATAAGACACATGGGAATAGAAAAGAAAACACCATGACTTAATTTTGAAAAGCACATTCTATTGTCTAAATAAAGAGTATTTATTAGTGTCATTGTGGTATCAAAATTAGTATAGATTATCGAGTCTACTCCTTAGTATCAAATGGAGTTTGAAATGGTAGTATGTTGACAGCACGAGTGTGTGATGGAGCTTGGTGGTGTTTACAGTCTCTGGGCCTGGTCATGGTGCACGCCCACAGCCGCTGGATCGCTGAGCCTCAGTCCCTGAACAGCACTGGACTGCCCCGTGTGCCCATGGAGCTGAGCCATCTCTCCCCCCGCAGGATCGAGCCCGAGATGCCCCTCTGGCATTTCTACCTCACCAGGTAGGTCCTGCAGTGTGAAGCATCGTGGTACAGTAGCTCAAGAAATGCCTTCATAGAAAACAAACATATAAAACAAATCAAGTCTTCAGGTAACATCACAGTAGTCCATCCGAATTGTACTTTTTTTTTTTTTTTTTTTTTTTTTTTATGTTTTTACTGTAAGTGGGCTTGCATCTCCACAAACTTAAACGTGACCTTTATTTGATCTGGAGGAGGGCTTACTCCTGCTTGTTTCCATGGAAATAATGTTCCTTTAGCTATAATACACCATAGTATGGCATAAACTGTGTCTGTCTCCATGAAAAATGTTCTGTAGTATGCTTTTAACGTTTCCATGGAATCATGCAATTAATGCGGCACCTCCAGCTGTGACATACTGTACTGTAGTTTAAATATATGTCCAGCAACAAATGAAATATTTATACATTTTGGATATGTCCTAACCCTCATGTGGACACTGTTGAAGCATGTGGTAGTTGGCTGCAGTGCCAGGCTGGAGGGCGAGTCTGCTGACCTTTCTGTGTGTTGCAGGATGGTGACCATGGACATCGAGCAGGTCATCTGCCTGGCCCTGGCTCTGCTGCTGGCCATTAAGTACATCTTCTTTGAGCCGGTGGAGACAGAGTCGACTCTGTCCATCAAGAGCCCCCTGTCCACAAGCACAGGAGCACGCAGGACAGCTACAGACAGCTGCTGTCGAAAGGTCCCGCCCATCGCCGGCCTGGTCACTACAGCACTGCTCCAAACCCAGGAGACCGCCAGTGTCACCAAGGGTAAGGTTTGTTTTACCTTAGAAAGGCATTTTCACTTGAAATAATGACTGTATAACAGGGTCAAATGCACACGCTGGTGGTGTTATAGGCAGAGGTGGGTACTATTTGCTTACATTTGCTTAAGTAAGCTTTAATCATTCATTGTTTTGTGCACTCTTCAAATGATTTGGACTGCTACTTTGTACTCCTAACTGAGTAATATAGTTGGAAGTTATAGTACTTTAATTTTAGTACAATTGTTTAAACTCCTGGTACTGGACTAGGCTGAGGGTCTATTGATACTTGATACTATGTGACATCATGCTGGGGGTGTTCTACATGTTTCTCTATGGTGGAATGATCAGCAGGTACACAATTCACACATTAGCAAGCACTGACTCTAAAGTAAATTAAAATGGAAAAAATACTAAATGGACTATGGATTTAAACAACACCTTTTCAGGAGCCTGTGGTCAATACGAGCCTTCATGGTCCTGTTTAGGAGTTTGACTTTCAACAAAAAGATGACTTACTGAAAAACTGTTGGCTAATGCTGGCTAGTTTGTGACTATAACTCTATGTGAGAGGGACTTGTTTAACTCACCTTAACTCAGCTCACCAGTTGGCGTTCCAATTTACAGTTCTTTCTCGTCAGATTGTGTTCAGTTAAAGTGAAGTATCTATAGGCTGGTGCATGCTGTATGACTGACTTGTTCTTCTCTTACAGATGAAGTGATCCGCCCTCTGCCCGCTGTGCCCGAGCCCATCCCTCGCTCTGTGCCCGAGCCCACCCCTCGCTCTATACCCGAGCCCACCCTTCCCTCTGTGCCCATCTTCATCATGGGTGAGGAGGAGGAGGTGAAGGGGGTGAAGGCGACAGCGGCACAGCCCACAGCAGAGCCCCGCAGCACGGCTGAGTGTGTGTCCATCCTCCGTGACCCTCAGGTGAGGTTATGTAATGAACATGGCCTACATGAGTCTAAACACAGCACAGCCTGAGGCGCCTAAAGCAGCTTACAGCGCACTGTCCACCCAAGCTCAACCAATTACACTGTGACGCCAACCGTGCACATGGACTCATAGTCACTGTGCCTCACCCTGATAATGCACTTAAACACCTCTCCTACTGCACACACCAGACACACACCAGCCACACACTCCTACATAGCCATAGCCCACCTGTGGAGATCATCGCGATCATGTGCTGAGCATAGAGCATTCTGAACAGCAGCGCAATACTGAGAGAGATATAATACTGGTATTAAATATCTTGCCGATACTGAAAAATTTTGCTGGATTGGGTATCAGTTTCATTTATTTATTTATTTATTTGATTGGGACAGAGCATGTTAATGAACAAACATGACAACATGAATGTAAACACACCGGATTGTAGCCTAAGGCTAATTTCCATCCGTTGTCCCAAGGGCTGGGGTCACAGGGGGTCATAATACTGATTGAGTCGATCTCCTGGCTGGGCCTTTAACTGAATAACTATTCATAGGATGATTCTGGCCTAGAACGTCTCATCTTTTAACTTTCATTCACACAGACTACTGCACTGACTAGGAGCTGTTTCCTGCGTGCAGCTGACTCTTCATTATCTGACTGCACTGTCCCTCACTCTTCATCAGCTGAATGCTCTGTATCTATTCTTGTAGCAGAGTATATTGTTGTATGAAGTGTACACACAAAGAGCCGGCTCTGCAGCCTGTTAGGGCTTAGCTGATTGGCTTAGTGAGCTGAGACCTTCGACCTCTGTGTTGCAGCTTGGCCCGAGCTTCCTCAGTGATGCAGAGGTGATGCTCCTGGTCAGCTCCAAACACATCCCTGCCTACAAGCTGGAGTCGGCCCTGGAGAGGCCCGAGAGAGGCGTATCCATCCGCCGACAGATGATCTCCTCCAAACTGGCCTCTCCTACTGCCCTGTCCTCTCTGCCCTACACCCACTACGACTACTCCAAGGTACTGCATATAGTACACACTGTACACGTACATTACACCCTGTCCTCCCTGCCCTACACCCACTATTACTACTCCAACATATGTGTTCAAACAGGGATATAGTACACACTACACTGTGTATGTAAACACACACACAGTACATACACACTGCCTACACAGTGTACTAACCATTCCCTCTGCAGGTGATGGGCAATTGCTGTGAAAATGTGATTGGCTACATGCCTGTGCCGGTGGGCGTGGCCGGGCCTCTGCATTTAGACGGGAAGCAGTACCAGGTCCCTCTGGCCACCACCGAGGGCTGCCTGGTGGCCAGCACCAACCGAGGCTGCCGGGCCATCGCAGTAAGTATGCTTCTCTCGAACTGTAAAGAAGACATATTATGCTTGTGTATGCTATACAGTTCTATCTACGACTGAAGGGGAGCAAAATTATTTCATTTGGACATTTTCAATCACAATATTGAACTAAAACCAAACTCCTTGGTGGCAAGGCTCCAGGGGTGGACGAGATCCGTCCTGAGTACCTTAAGTCTCTGGATGTTGCAGGGCTGTCTTGGCTGACACGCCTCTTCAACGTCACGTGGCGGTCGGGGACAGTACCCTTGGACTGGCAAACCGGGGTGGTGGTCCCTCTGTATAAGAAAGGGGAGCGGAGGGTGTGTTCCAACTACAGCCTTCCCGGTAAGGTCTATGCCAGGGTACTGGAGAGGAGAATCCGGCCGATAGTCGAACCTCGGATCCAGGAGGAGCAATGTGGTTTTCGTCCTAGCCAGGGAACACTGGACCAGCTCTACACTCTCCATAGGGCGCTCGAGGGTTCATGGGAGTTTGCCCAACCAGTCCACATGTGTTTTGTGGACTTGGAGAAGGCATTCGACCGTGTCCCTCGTGGTGTTCTGTGGGGGGTGCTCTGGGAGTATGGGGTCCGGGGCCCTTTGCTAAGGGCTGTCCTGTCCCTGTATGACCGGAGCAGGAGCTGTGTTCGCATTGCCGGCAGTAAGTCAGACAGGGAAGACCCAGGACACGCTGGAGGGACTGTCTCTCGGCTGGCCTGGGAACGCCTCGGGGTCCCCCCGGAGGAGCTGGAGGACGTGTCTAGGGTGAAGGAAGTTTGGGAGTCCCTGGTTAGACTGCTGCCCCCGCGACCCGGCCCCGGATAAGCGGAAGAAAATGGATGGATGGATGGATATTGAACTAAAACATCTTAATAAATGAGTCCCTTTACAGTGTGTAACCGTAAACGTCTTCTCCACAAAGAGCCGTTCTGCCGGACCACGCTGCTTTATGCCAAAATTACTGTGCTGCACTTCCTATGGCATCCTCAGAGAATAGAGTCAGCATACTATAGTGTAGAGCAGTGGGCATGTATGAGGGGTAAGGGAAATTAAGTAAGTGACATCTAGAATGCAGTGGAATACATGTGCATGAGTCACTGAGTAAATGAGAAGGGAAACAATTATGGTTAAAAGCACTTAAGAGCTGACTTTGTATAATGTGTCTCCTTTATATAAAAATGACACATGAGAAGGTTTAGCCAGATTTCTTGTAACAAGTGTGTGTCTGTTGTGGCCACTCTAGTTGTCTGGTGGGGCCCGCAGCTGTATTCTGGGGGACAGTATGACTCGGGGACCCCTGGTCAGGCTGCCCTCAGCCTGTCAGGCTGCAGAGGTCAAAGCTTGGCTGGAGTCAACCGACGGCTTTCAGGTGGTAAAGGAGGCCTTTGACAGCAGCAGTAGGTAAGAGTTTAAAAGTCTCTCCTGTTCTCCTGTCCACCTTCTTACCTGTCCACCCTTTCACCTGTCCCACGTGCCCACCTGTCCACCCTCTCACCTGTCCTTGTCCGCAGGTTTGCCCGGCTGCAGAAGCTGCTGGTGGCCTTAGCCGGAAGGAACCTCTACATCCGCTTCCATTCACAGACTGGAGACGCCATGGGCATGAACATGATCTCAAAGGTTAGAAACATGCCTCCTCTATAACATGACCACGGTCTGACCTCTGTCTGACCTTTGTTTGACCCCCATCTGACCTCTGTATAACCCAGGGCACGGAGCAGGCTCTCAGCTGCCTGCAGCAGCACTTCCCTGACCTTCAGGTGGTGGCACTCAGTGGAAACTTCTGCACTGATAAGAAGCCAGCTGCGGTCAACTGGATTGAGGGGCGGGGCAAGTCTGCTGTGTGTGAGGCCACCATCCCAGCACACGTGGTCAGAGAGGTCAGACGTCACTCACGCATAGTATAACCACAACTTGTACTGTGCCCATTGGTCTCGATTGACTATTCAGATGGTGTGTTTGCAGCCCATCTGAAATGATGGATCTTGTTATAGACAATATACTCAATATACAATATACTGTGGACAGATTATCGTCTCTGTTTAGTTGCATGCTTGTATACTTTTATACCTGTATACTTGTATACTTGCATACCTGTATATCTGTATAGGCCAGAGTACTGCATAGACTCACTGCCTGTGCTCCTCAGGTCCTGAAGACCAGTACTCAGGCTTTGGTGGAGGTCAACATCAACAAAAACCTGGTGGGCTCAGCCATGGCCGGCAGCATCGGGGGCTTCAACGCACACGCAGCCAACCTGGTCGCAGCTATCTACATCGCCTGTGGACAGGTCAGACACCACTCACTAAGTACTACATCACACACTACATGTGTGTACATGTGTGTACATGTGTGTACATGTGTGTACATGTATGACTGCCTCCACAGGACCCTGCTCAGTCTGTGGGCAGCAGTAACTGCATCACTCTAATGGAGGCCTCAGGGCCCTCAGGGGACGACCTGTACATCAGCTGCACCATGCCCTCCATAGAACTGGGCACTGTGGGCGGAGGCACCAACCTGCCACCCCAGCAGGCATGTCTGCAGGTACTCTCTCTCACACACACACACACGCACGCACACACACGCACACACACGCGAACACACACAGACTTTTTCCCTTCATCATAGTATGAGTGCAGAAATCCACACTCGTCCCCTGGCTACATGTACCAGGTATAAACACACACTGGTTCATATCAGACACAGAACTGTGAATGGGCTTTTGGACCCTCAATGGGACGTTGAGACTTAAGAGTGGTATATTGCACTTTTCTCCACATGTGTGTGTAAACGTAGGTTTGTTGTGGTGTTATGGCCACGCCTCTGAAACCAGCATTGTCCCACCGCTAGGGAATTAGTGAGGCAGCATGTGGACAGAGGTTTTTTTATCCAAGTGAACAAAGTATCAGTTTGGAAATGCTGAAATGAATAATGAAAAGTGAATACATCATCACATGTAAACATATATGTGTTTTTGTGTGCGTGTACGTGCGTGTGTGTTTGTGCATGTGTGCGTGCGTGTACAGATGCTGGGTGTGCAGGGCCCGTGCCCTGAATGTCCAGGGGAGAATGCCCGGCAGCTGGCCCGCCTGGTGTGTGCCACAGTACTGGCAGGAGAGCTGTCTCTGATGTCTGCTCTGGCGGCTGGGCATCTGGTCAAGAGTCACATGACGCACAACAGGTCAGTGTGTACCCCATTTCACCCACAGCAGGAGGAGGCAAAAGAGATGAATACATTTCAGAACATTATGCATAATTCACAAACTAACAGCCAGAGTCATGTCACTGTCATTGTCATGTTTCATTTAAACTGGTGTCATCTAGATTTCATTTGGTGATCAATAAATGATTTTCTTTTGCCCTTGTGCCCTCTGCTGGCAGCAGTAGAGATTGCAGCAGATAAAACAGAAGACAAAAAAAAGCAGCGCCTTGTATACAAAGTAGAAAAAAATGAGGCACTCCAAAAGTACAAAATAATTAAAAGCCTTAAATACCCCGTGGCAGATAAAGTTAAAATCACTCCAACACGTTTTGTTCCTTCGTCCTTCATCAGGACAAACTCCAGATGGATATCACAGAACAGATTTAAAGTCATAGGTGTAGGTCACATGTTCACATGTTCACAGTGGACTGGCTCACAGTCTCCTGGTGCATGATGGGACATGTAGGCTGAACAGATTTTTGTTACAAGCTGTGTGTGTGTGTGTTAAACATGTGTGAATGAAACAAAACACATCTCCAGGTGTGTTGTTGATGAGAAACATGATCAAAATCAGGATTGTTTATGTTATAATAAAACATAAGAAATTGTAAAAGTTACTTATGAACATTTTATAAACAGTTTTGTGATTACAACAAAACTATTAGTCAAAAAGGCAATCTAAGTGTTACTTGTGTGTGTCTGTGTGATCTGTGTGTTTCTGTATGTCACTGTGTAAGTGTGCTGAGCTGTGTGTGTCTGTGTGACATGTGTGTGTCTGTGTGTGACTGTGTGACATGTGTGTGTCTGTGTGTGACTTGTGTGTGTCTGTGTGTGACCTGTGTGTGACCTGTGTGTATGTGTGTAACCTGTCTGTGACCTGTGTGTGTCTGTGTGACCTGTGTGTGACGTGTCTGTGTGACCTGTGTGTGTATGTGTGTAACCTGTCTGTGACCTGTGTGTCTGTGACCTGTGTGTGTCTGTGACCTGTGTGTGTCTGTGTGTGTCTGTGTGTAACCTGAGTGTGACCTGTGTGTATCTGTGACCTATGTGTGTCTGTGTGTCCTGTGTTCGACTGATGTGTGTCTGTGTGTGACCTGTGTGTATCTGTGTGTGTCTGTGTGTGACCTGTGTGTGTCTGTGTGTGACCTGTGTGTGTCTGTGTGTGACCTGTGTGTGACCTGTGTGTGACCTGTGTGTGTGTGTGTCTGTGTGTGTCTGTGTGTGACCTGTGTGTGACCTGTTGTGTGTGACCTGTGTGTGACCTGTGTGTGTGTCTGTGTGTGACCTGTGTGTGTCTGTGTGTGACCTGTGTGTGACCTGTGTGTGTGTGTGTGTGTGTGCTGTGTGTGTGTGACCTGTGTGTGTCTGTGTGTGTGTGTCTGTGTGTGACCTGTGTGTGTGTGTACCTGTGTGTGTGTGTGTCTGTGTGTGACCTGTGTGTGTCTGTGTGTGACCTGTGTGTGACCTGTGTGCTGACCTGTGTGTGACCTGTGTTTCTGTGTGTGTCTGTGTGTGACCTGTGTGTGTGTCCTGTGTGTGTGACCTGTGTGTGTGTGTCTGTGTGTGTGACCTGTGTGTGTCTGTGTGTGACTGTGTGTGACCTGTGTGTGTCTGTGTGTGTCTGTGTGTGACCTGTGTGTGACCTGTGTGTGTCTGTGTGTGACCTGTGTGTGTCTGTGTGTGTGTCTGTGTGTGACCTGTGTGTGACCTGTGTGTGTGTGTGTGTCTGTGTGTGACCTGTGTGTGTGTGTGACCTGTGTGTGTGTGTCTGTGTGTGTGTCTGTGTGTGTGACCTGTGTGTGTCTGTGTGTGTCTGTGTGTGACCTGTGTGTGTGACCTGTGTGTCTGTGTGTGACCTGTGTGTCTGTGTGTGTCTGTGTGTGACCTGTGTGTGTGTCTGTGTGTGTGTGTGTGTGTGTGTGTGTGTGTGTGTGTGACCTGTGTGTGTCTGTGTGTGACCTGTGTGTGACCTGTGTGTCTGTGTGTGACCTGTGTGTGACCTGTGTGTGTCTGTGTGTGACCTGTGTGTGTCTGTGTGTGACCTGTGTGTGTGTGTGTGACTGTGTGTGTCTGTGTGTGTGTGTGACCTGTGTGTGTCTGTGTGTGACCTGTGTGTGTGTGTGTGACCTGTGTGTGTCTGTGTGTGTCTGTGTGTGACCTGTGTGTGACCTGTGTGACCTGTGTGTGTCTGTGTGTGTCTGTGTGTGTGTGTGTGACCTGTGTGTGACCTGTGTGTGTCTGTGTGTGTGTGTGTGTGTGTGTGACCTGTGTGACCTGTGTGTGTGTGCTGTGTGTGTGACCTGTGGTGTGTCTGTGTGTGTGACCTGTGTGTGTCTGTGTGTGTGTGTGTGTGACTGTGTGTGACCTGTGTGTGTGTGTGTCTGTGTGTGTGTGTGTGACCTGTGTGTGTCTGTGTGTGACCTGTGTGTGTGTGTGTGACCTGTGTGTGTGTGTGTCTGTGTGTGACCTGTGTGTGACCTGTGTGTGTGTGTGTCTGTGTGTGACCTGTGTGTGTGTGTGTCTGTGTGTGTGTGACCTGTGTGTGTGTGTGACTGTGTGTGACCTGTGTGTGTGTGTGACCTGTGTGTGTGTCTGTGTGTGTGTGACCTGTGTGTGACCTGTGTGTGTGTGTGTCTGTGTGTGACCTGTGTGTGACCTGTGTGTCTGTGTGTGACCTGTGTGTGTGTGTCTGTGTGTGACCTGTGTGTGTCTGTGTGTGACCTGTGTGTGTCTGTGTGTGTGTGTGTGACCTGTGTGTGACCTGTGTGTGTCTGTGTGTGTCTGTGTGTGACCTGTGTGTGTCTGTGTGTGACTGTGCTGACCTGTGCTGACCTGTGTGTGACCTGTGTGTGTCTGTGTGTGACCTGTGTGTGTCTGTGTGTGACCTGTGTGTGTGTGTGTCCTGTGTGTGTGTGACCTGTGTGTGTGTGTGTGACCTGTGTGTGTCTGTGTGTGTCTGTGTGTGTGTGACCTGTGTGTGACCTGTGTGTGTGTGACCTGTGTGTGACTGTGTGTGACTGTGTGTGACCTGTGTGTGACCTGTGTGTGACCTGTGTGTGACCTGTGTGTGTCTGTGTGTCTGTGTGTGTGACCTGTGTGTGTCTGTGTGTGACCTGTGTGTGACCTGTGTGTGTCTGTGTGTGACTGTGCTGACCTGTGTGTGACCTGTGTGTGACCTGTGTGTGTCTGTGTGTGTCTGTGTGTGACCTGTGTGTGTCTGTGTGTGTCTGTGTGTGACCTGTGTGTGTCTGTGTGTGACTGTGCTGACCTGTGTGTGACCTGTGTGTGACCTGTGTGTGACCTGTGTGTGACCTGTGTGTGTCTGTGAGCAGATCTAAGGTGAACCTCCAGACCCCCGGCACCTGCACCCAGAACAGCTCTTGAGAGGACGTTCGAGGCCTGTCCCGTGTCCACTGAGCAGAGCGGACGTGTCCACAAATGGACGAGACACCATGAGACTGCACACAGCCTTTGTCCTGTCACATGTGCACTGAGGACACCCTGTCTGAACTGTGTTCAGCTGATTGCATCCTGAGGACCACTCAAGTCCCCTCCTCACCACAGGACGTCCAGCTGCAAGACAGACAATAAAATGATTTTGAACTATATTGTGAACAAAACAGTTTGAATTTCCTCTTGAGTTTAATAATACAGGAGGTACACAGGGAAATCAGGGAGGCACCTTTTTGTGCAGGATCTTTGACACATTGTTACTGTGCTAAAGTCTTTAATCCAAAGTCAGCGGTCCATGCATGTGTGTGTAGTGTCACACATGCTGAATGTCTGAACCACAGGTAACATGGTTTACAATAAGAGCCCGTAGAGAGTTGGCCGACTGCAGACGACATAATGCTACAGACATCATCATCATCATAATAATAACAATAATAAAGATAAAAGCATTCTGAGCAGGGCTCTGTACTTGCATAGATACATGGTCTGTGTCAAACAGAACATACACTGTCCCCTTCAGGCCAATGTGGGAACACCAACAACAAATGCTGGTTCATGATCATATTCAATTAAGGCAGGTACGGGGCTTGAAATGATAAATGTTTTATAAATTATTTTGACTTAAATAAAAGTATTTTTTTCTATTTTATGAAGTGTCTAGTTTGTTGTAGATTGGAGCAAGGAGTCTCCTTTTACTGAAATGCCATACATTTACAAAAAAAATCCATAAAATACATGTAAATAAATCTCGTGCTCTAATTAGAGACGTGAGATATGACAGGAGATCCGGGATGAATGAGTTAAGGACGTATTCCCCAAGGCCAAAGTGTGCACAGCACGTTCAGGGCGCACTGTTTCTGCACAACTTTTAGTTTAAAATTGCTCAGCGCTAAGCAACAGTCACGTGCAACAGTGGACGCACACTGACACTAAAGTCTGAATCCTAAAAGAAATGTTGTCTTCATTATATAATAGTATATTCCTACTGGAACTATTTGAGACCTATACCGATCCAGCTGGTTTAGCAGTGTGACAGGATCTATGTCTTCTGCAGGAACGATCACCATGAATATCCAGAGCTGCTCCAAAATGTGTCAAAGGCCGTGCGCGACAGAATCACGGGACGTGTGCAGAATGAACATGACCCTCCTGTAAGTCCACCGCTCACCGTTAGAGGCAGCAGAGTGCCATGAGCAGCCAAGCCCAGCGGAAATCATCCTCAGAAGAAGAGCCGGTTCCGGGTCGGTCCAGTGCGCAGGCCCAGTGCGTAGTCCCGGTTCCCTTCCTGGTCCACGGACCCGTGTCCCGCGTCCGATATGAGAGTCCCGCGGGCATGTGTCCGCCTCGTCTTATGCGCGCGTGACTTTATGACCACTGTCCCACACGCGCAGACATGCACGCGCCTCTCTCCGCAGGTAAATCTGCGCCACGTGCTCTTATGTTGGACTTTTCCATTTCTGTCCTGTCATAGAGTCTGTCCAGTTCATTCCCGTCCTGTCCAGACCAGTTCTGTCCTGTCCTGTCCTCCTGCCCTGTCCTGTCCTCCTGTCCTCCCGTCCTCCTGTCCTGTCCTCCTGCCCTGTCCTCCTGTCCTGACCTGTTCTGTTCTGTCCTGTCCTCCTGTTCTGTCCTGTCCTCCTGCCCTGTCCGCATTGATGCACTGTCTCTGTCTCCAGGTCAGAAATGCGGGCTCCGTGTGGGGACCCCGCTGTACCGCGCGTGCACGTGTGTGGAGCAGGAGGACAGGAGCTCAGTCTCTGTGTGACGCACAGGTCTGTTTTTTAAGAGATTCATTTCAGAAAAGTGACAGTTGATATTTGACTGGGAGCTGTGTCAGGCCGCTGTCTGCAGGAGCACTGTGATCCCAGTTGCCTTTTTCAAACAGAGTCTTGTTTCCAAACCCAGAATGTCAAAGTGAAAGTTGTTGATGTACCAGGCAGCTCTGGACTCCCGGTGCTAGTGGGGGCTGCATGTGTCCTGGGTCTGATGGTCACATGTTCAGAGGTGGTCCTGACTCCTGTTGTGACTTTGTGTTAGAGGAGAGAGGCTGGAGCCCTGTGGAGCAGAGGCCTGTCCGTGAGTGGCCCAGGCCCAGAGCAGAGTGGCGTCAGGTAAGAGCTTCTCCCTGGTAGGAGTTTGGAGCCTGTGGACCAAGTATGATGACATATGACCCCCTCAGCTCCCTGTCCGAGGCCCAGTACGAGGCCCTGTCCCGGGACACTCTGGACGCCCTGGCCGAGCACCTGGAGGACCTGATGGACCAGCCCTTCACTGGACCAGACTTCGACGTCAGCTTCTCTGTGAGTGCACTACATAAGTCTGTAGGAGGACGCACTGGAGAGCTGCAACTAACTATTATTTTGCTAATTTATTTATTTTATTTTTGAGATTTAGTTTTTCTAAATTTCACTTGGATAAAGCTGACTTGATGCAGTTTGAAGCTGTCTCAGTGGAGTATAGTCACAGACAGTAGAGTTTTATCACAAACATGAAATGACCACATTAATCCCAGCTCTGTCTAAATCCTAAAACCTCTTCTTCATTCATTTTTTAAAAACAATTACTATTTGATTACAAAATTAGTTAACAATTTTTTCAATAATCAATTTGTTGTGATTAATCTGTTCATGTTTCAGGTCAGTATGTCATGAGGGTATATGTCCACTAGGGGGAGCTGAGCACTAACAAACACCACTGCCTCCAAAAGAATCTCTGTCCCATCCCATAGTTTGTCCTGCACTCATGATGCGTGCAGCTGAAGTCACACATAAAACTCCTGTATTACAGAAAATAGACTCTTGTGAGCTTTAAGACAAGCTATAATGAGCTTTAGTTTCATGTTTGATTATTATTCCTTTATAGTGGAGCTGGTAGTTGAAATAATCGTGCAGTTTGTGGTACAAGCATCAAATTTGGAGTGGAGATAGATAATAACATGGTGTTTATGAAAAGCCCGTTAGCCACCAAAAATATCCAAGATTTTTCAAGATGGCCGCCATAGTATATATGTATAATAACTATATATAACTATATATGTATAAATGTCGAAGCATAGGTTTGTTATTTAATTAATTATATCTATTTTAAGTGAAATTATTCATCAAATCATTTTTGATGGTTATTTATCACCTTTCATTATATTTATAATATCTACAAATAAATGGCATTAAATAAAAACACACAGTAGAAAGTAATCTCATGGACAAATCTTATTGAAACCTGCCTGAAGAAATATTAAATATATGAAGTACCAATGTGCTAAAATATGTTTTTGTTAGAATATATATGTGTTTATTGTAGAAATGGGTGGGGTCTTAACACAACCAGGGCATACTGTGAAACTCAACATGGGGTTCAGTGTCGGCTCTGTAGTGTTAGTAACATTCTAATATTTAATGTAGTTAATGTAGCATGATGTAGTGTCACAAATGCTCTCGAATTAGCCCTGTAAATACACCAGCTAGTAGTTTTAGTATTAGTTATACCAATATTAGTTGTAGTATTAAAGTTCGATAGCCGGACCTGAATTGACAGGATGTACCAGACTGAATGATGGTCGTGGATTTGAAGAAACACTAATAAAACATTTAATCACCAAAGCTGCAGATGATTGTTCAGTAACAGTAAACTTGAACGGGCAAACAAAAGAGCAGCTTGTGATACAGTCGACTCAGACGAAGGACATTCAAAAATTAGAAGAACTGTGCAGAAACTCCAGCAATGTTTTTTTATGTGATAACACAGAACCAGCTTCTGAACTAAGACAAACATCAACAATACAGTTAAATGAGGCTGAATGAATGTGCCAAAAATCTTAATGATGGCAAACATTTTTCAATAGTTCTTAAGCACAAACAGCACTATGAATGCTTCTATTTTAATGGCTCTATTTCTGAAATGAACCTATATGTTGCATTTTATTTTCATTTTCCTTGTGTTTTTATTTCTACTTCCTAAATGTTTATTGGGATACTTTTGGTTTCAAATTGCGAGAAAACATAATGAATTTTGTGCAAAATTAAATATATATTTGGTGTAAAATGTGTTGAATGCCTGACATTGCATTACTGTATATGTATATATTTGCAAATTTGTGATTAATTCCATTAATTTTGATTAAGAACATGATGACTTATTGTCTTTTAGCTCATACTTATGTGAAATCAGTTGTTTGGTCGGCCATCTTGAAAAATGGCCTCCATGTTGAATATTTCAAGTGACTAACGGTTTTTTCTAAAAGAGCATGATGTTAGCTAAATATATGAGAAATTTGGTGCTTGTACCACTAACTGAACGATTCTTGTGGTTTGGAGACCTAATCTGCTCCACTATTATTATTATTTTGTCTATATCTCTATAGCTCAGTGTGTTTTCAGTTTGAGAGAAGAACTCGTGCTAAATGTGCAGAGTTTGTGTGTTAAACATGTAAATAAACCAAAACCCAACTGCAGGTGTGTTTGTGCTGAGAAAACAACATTAGAAGAGAGGTCAGGTCTGAAAATTGCAATATGGGCCCTTTAAACTTATAGTTAGATATTAAAACATGAATAGAAATATTTTCTTTTATTTTTTGTATGAGGTATTGTATGTTGTATTTCCACAACATGAAGCTGTGTGTCAGGGTTTAAACTGTGACTCTACACATAAGGTGTGTGACAACACATCAACTATCTTCTCATAGACAGAAAACAGTGTATTTGCAAATATCAGCCAATTAAAATGTGCTTTTTTTGTGGGGACTTCCATAAATGTCCAGCACTTCCTTCTGGGGGCGGAGCTCAGTGTTCCGTTTTTCTCAGTTTTTCACACGTTTGTTTCTCAATAAATATAATTTCAGTATCAGGTTCTGGTTAGGATTAGATTTACGAAGAGTTCATTAGTTTGAGCTTTGGGACATGGAACACTTTTCCCACTTTGTAACGAAATGCTGAAAATTTAGAGAGTTTCATTTTAGTGCTAACAGTGTTATGCTAATCCTGTTTGTGTGTGTCGGGCAGAATGGCGTGCTAACGGTGAAACTTGGTGCAGAACATGGAACCTACGTGATCAACAAACAGACGCCCAACCGCCAGATCTGGCTCTCCTCTCCATCCAGGTCAGAGCGCCCCCTGTGTGTGTGCTTCAAACCAATGATCAGACACACGCACACACACACACACACATCCAAGCAGGTGTCACTGTCAGTGTAGGGACAGGGCGTGCCTCATGTGGTGCTGGGGTTTCGTGACCATTCAGATCAGAGGTATTTTAGGTTTAAACCAACTGGATTTCAAAATTGGCTGAGGCTCATTCTGCTTTCTGATTGGATAATTGCCATTTTCATCTTTCATACACGTTTATTTATTCTCCTATATTTAAGATGAGCATTTAAGATGCTCTGATCTACCCCCATTTTCACTGTGACATCCGCACTTCACTTTCCAGTAAAATGTTAATCAGAGATACATGTTGGGTTTGTCGACGTCATGCATCCTTCTTGGCACCAATAAAAAAGATCCGGTGCTCTCTCGCCTGTTTTGCAGCTATCCACAGGAGAGGCCGACAGAATGCTGCGCTAATCCCTCATTGGGCTCCACAATTGTCCGTGTTTGTGGTATTTAGTTGTTTCAGATAAACCTGAGTGCTCTGACTGACATGTGGCCAGTGGGTGTGTGTGTCCCATTCTCACTGAAAATCCTAATCTCATATCTGGAGTTATCAGATTATCAGGGGTCGTAAATCTATGGGGTTTATCAGGAATCTGATTATGAGAACTCGGATCAGCTTTACCTGTCCGTCTCATTTGTCACATTCACTCTTATTAATGGCTCAGATGACACTAACCCCTTGTCCTCCTCACAAACACACACCTGGAGTTGTGTTTGTTTCATTCACATGTTTAACACACAAACCTGCACATTTAGCACAAGTTCTTCTCTCAAATGAAAAACACTCCACCTTGTGATGTCGTGGTAATACGAGAAGTGCTCCACTGTGTTTTTAAACTCCATACACTTTCACTAGAATCATCTAGATCAGGGGTCTCAAACTCAAATTACCTGGGGGCCACATTAGATAAAGTCTGAGTGAGGCTGGGCCGCATTGAGTATTCGATAAATAGCGGTTGCACGGGGAAAAAAGAGAGAGAAAGAACAACATGCAACACTTTCTTAATCTTTAATAACAGTTCAGAACATGAAAATGTATTTAGAACGTAAGTTTAAACTAATACGTCTACTCTTCTTCTTTTACCTTCTCCTTGCTGGTTGAAACCTGGCTACGCTTCATCTTGTACAGCTGAGAGATATTTGGCTTGCAGGAGGAAGCATATGAGATCCTCAGGATAGATTGAAGATGCTCATCAGTGAGCCTTGACCTGTATTAGGTGCTTTCACACCGACAGTATTTGGTGCGCACCAAACGGTCCATTCGAACCAGAAGTGGTTAGCTCAGTTCGTTTGCGTTGGTGTGAAAGCTTCAATCGGACTCGGACCCGAACCAACCAAATCAAACCAACCTCAAAAAAGAGGTGGTCTCGGTTCACTTGAATCCGCCGCACCCAAATGACCAACTTTGGTGCGGTTCCTCTGGTGTGAACGTGAACCCGGGTCCAAACCATAGACAGCAGGTCCAAACGAACTATTCTAGATGCATCATGGGAGAAACGCGTCTCCTTTGCCTGTAATGACACGCTGTACGACTCCAGCGCAGTAACAGATTGTTGTCCAGACGCAGCCGTGATTCATTTTCGAATTATTTTACCAACAATGGCCAATAAAGAAAATGTAACACACGAAGATCAGAGCAAGAACGTGCGAACGTGTGGCTCCAGAGTGAGTCAAAAATGGGGGTGTGTACTTCTGCTCAAGACCTACACAGAGGTCCCTTTGTTCCCCGTGATCATGATGCATTTGTTATTTTAGGCTAATTAACCAAATAATTTTATGGCAATAGGCAATCGCCCATTCAATTGATTCACCTTTAAAAAATGTCCTGCTGTTAGTCTAGTGTGAGAAATACAGTCGGACTAGATCCAAACCGGAGTCCCGAACCAGCAGGAGCAGCTCCGGTTCTGTCCGGGCTCAGATGACGTGGAGCGGGGAGTGAAAAGCGCTTTTCCCGGGAAGAACCAAATGCGGACACCAACTAAACTGGATTCACACTTCTGTCCAGATGCTTTGCTCCACCTCGGAACCAGCCGCGGTTCTTGAGCGCGGAGGACAGGAGCAGCACAGACCTGTAGGTGTAGTCCACAGAACATTCTCACTTTCCCCGCATGGAACACGGAACCAGCGCGCAGACGGCGGAACTTACCCGCTCAGACCCAGTCATTGCGCACTGGTCTTGCTCGCCACCGTCTGGAACCAGCACATGGAGGATGGAGCCTGCGGACCATCTGACCAACGCGCTTGTAGGACGACAGAAGACCAAGGACCAGACCCCAGCGCTATCGTGAGGAGCCGCGCGCTACGGTGAGCACTGTTGGCTGCTGCTGTTTCCCGAACTCTGGGCTGATGCGGTGAGTTTGTACAAAGTTCTATGTTGCTGTTTTATGAGTTCATGGTGATAAGATGAGGACGGCTCGCGGTATTAACAGGGAACATCAGTATTGGTTACTGGAGATATCACTGTTCTACCGGGATACAGAGGCTCGTTAACAGGACCAGTTTTGGTTCGTTTGCCGGTGTGAAAGCGCCACACTGGAGTGTATCTGCTTCTCGTATGTCAAACACGGATGGAAGACGCTTGTTTTTGCCTCGTACTTTTTGCTAACATGTCGCCAAGCCTTTGGAATAGATCACTGCAGTTTTGTGGTGCTTGCATATTGATGGGACAGCTGTGTTTGCCGCTGAGTGCGCGTGGATTTCGGTGACACATATGTGGAGCTTGGTCATCGGGTTGCCAGCAAGTTACGCACCGAGTGTTGAACAGATAAACAGACTGTCAATGTCTTTTTATTTCTTATTAGCCCCTCCAATAAAGGTCCCATACTTATGAACAGGGGGATTCTGTCAGCGCCTCCTCTGCGCTCTGATACTGTGGCTGTGGGAGCGTAAAGTGAAGTGCGCACACGTGTACCACCATGTGTGGTTTGTTGGTTCTTCGGTGACGCCGTATGTGCACGTGTACTCGTATTAACAGATCCACTTAGACTCGTTGCTTCATAACTGCTGTAAATTGAGTTTTGGGATGTAAACTCCGTTAATAATCTGTTGTGAATCTGCATGGGCACCGATTGCAGCTTCATCTGTCAGTGCGGCCCGCGGTCGGGGGATGGGATTGTGCGTACATCTACGGCGGGCCGCACTGACATTATTCTTTGGAATCAAGTGGAGGGCCGCAAAAAATCCTTCCGCGGGCCGCAGTTGGCCCCCGGGCCGCGAGTCTGAGACCCCTGATCTAGATCATTTCAGCCCTGGAACTGCCAAACTTTACTAAAGATAAAAGCAGCAGTTAACTTGAAAACTACTACTTCATGACATCACAAGGTGGAACAGAGCATTTTGAGGTTTAGAGATTTAGACAGAGTAATTCTAAAGGATTACTCAAAACGTGTGAATGAAACAAAACACAGAGACAGGTATAAAAGTCTGCTTTGTAGTTGTGCGTGGGGCCCTGCTCAGGTGAGAGCTGACGTCCTAAAGCACTTCTGAACCGGACGAGCTTCTGTGGAGCTTATCAGGGCCCAGGTGCATCGTGGGAATCTTAACTATTTCATTTGCATTAATTATTTGTTATTTATTTACTGTGGCAATAACCAATCCCATTAGGCTCATATGCAGATATTTGTGTGGCAAACATTACCTGGGGGCGGGGTCTAAAGGGGAGAGTGAGGGGGAGGAGGAGGGGCGGGGTCTAAAGGGGAGAGTGAGGGGGAGGAGGAGGGGCGGGGTGTAAAGGGGAGGAGGAGAGGCGGGGTCTAAAGGGAGAGTGAGGGGGAGGAGGAGGGGCTGGGTCTAAAGGGGAGAGTGAGGGAGGAGGAGGGGCGGGTCTAAAGGGGAGAGTGAGGGGAGGAGGGGGGGGTCTAAAGGGGAGAGTGAGGGGGAGGAGGAGGGGCTGGGTCTAAAGGGGAGAGTGAGGGGGAGGAGGGGGGGGTGTAAAGGGGAGAGTGAGGGGGAGGAGGAGGGGCTGGGTCTAAAGGGGAGAGTGAGGGGAGGAGGGCGGGGTAAAGGGGAGAGTGAGGGGGAGGAGGAGGGGCTGGGTCTAAAGGGGAGAGTGAGCCAGCTGTTTGTATCAGAAATGCCTGACTGCAGTCAGAGCAGTCCTGTGTGATGTCACCAGCTACAGGAAATTGCAGAGTCCACTGAAGGCAGCACAAACTTAAATGTAGGTGTTCTTGACCAGAAAGGTGCAAAGGAAGCTCCCTACTTTACACTGAAGTTGTCAAAAAATGACTAGTAACAGTAGAACACTAGTGCAACACCATGTACACATACACACAGTTTCATGGCAAAAAGTGGATTTAGTGTTTAGTTCCACTCACTGGGAGACTCACTCTGAGTATCTCTGCTACCAGTCCAGGCGAGGAAGCTCATCACGTCACTGAATAAATGCATATATGAATTTAATGCCATATTGTGGAATATTCCAGGCCTTTCTATCTGGCCCTATTCAAACCCTCTATGATCCTGTACAATGCTACTGTCCCCCATGCTCCTACACAACAATTCTCCATAAATATACAAAAACATGATACAAATAGCGCTCTGAAGGGGGAGTGACTTAAGATGGGAGCAAATGGATGGAGGACTCAGGACGTAAAATAACAAAAGTGAAACTTATACAGCATCGTACTACATTTGTTTTGGGCGAATACAGCATTTGCAAAACAATAAAAGGAACATGATGATCTAAACAAACTCTATAGGAGTGTAATAACCCTCTACAGAAGTGTAATAACCCTCTGTAGAAGTGTAATAACCCTCTGTAGAAGTGTAATAACCTCTGTAGAAGTGTAATAACCCTCTGTAGAAGTGTAATAACTCTGAAGAAGTGTAATAACCCTCTGTAGATGTGTAATAACCTCTGTAGAAGTGTAATAACCTCTGTAGACGTGTAATAACCTCTGTAGAAGTGTAATAACTTCTGTAGACGTGTAATAACCTCTGTAGACGTGTAATAACCTCTGTAGAAGTGTAATAACTCTCTGTAGAAGTGTAATAACCTCTGTTAAAGTGTAATAACTCTGTAGAAGTGTAATAACTTCTGTAGACGTGTAATAACCTCTGTAGAAGTGTAATAACTTCTGTAGACGTGTAATAACCTCTGTAGACGTGTAATAACTCTCTGTAAAAGTGTAATAACTCTCTGTAGATGTGTAATAACCTCTGTAGAAGTGTAATAACTCTCTGTAAAAGTATAATAACTCTGTAAAAGTGTAATAACTCTGTAGAAGTGTAATAACTCTCTGTAGAAGTGTAATAACTCTGAAGAAGTGTAATAACCCTCTGTAGACGTGTAATAACCTCTGTAGAAGTGTAATAACCTCTGTAGACGTGTAATAACTCTCTGTAGAAGTGTAATAACCTCTGTAGAAGTGTAATAACTCTCTGTAGAAGTGTAATAACCTCTGTAGAAGTGTAATAACTCTCTGTAGAAGTGTAATAACTCTCTGTAGAAGTGTAATAATCTCTGTAGAAGTGTAATAACTCTCTGTAGAAGTGTAATAACTCTCTGTAGAAGTGTAATAACTCTCTGTAGAAGTGTAATAACTCTCCCTCTACAAATACTGTAGGCACGTACGTAAGAGATTGCCATTGCCAAGATCATAATGTTTACAAAAATAAACTTCTTATTTAATCTAGTGGTAAAAGGAGATTCTAACTTGCGGTGTGTGTGTGTGTGTGTGTGTGTGTGTGTGCAGTGGACCCAAGCGATACGACTGGACGGGCCAGCGCTGGGTCTACGCTCACGACGGACGCAGCCTGCACCAGCTCCTGTCCTCTGAGCTGTCCAGCATCTTCAAGACCCCTGTGGACCTGTCGCACCTGCCCTACTCCTGACACCTGCCCTACTCCTGACACCTGCCCTACTCCTGACACCTGCCCTACTCCTGACACCTGCCCTAGTCCTCTGACACCTGCCCTATTCCGACATCGAGTTCTGAGCCTGTATTCCATGTATATGATGTATTCTTTATTGGTGAAAGTAATTAAAATATACATTATTATTCTTGTCTAAGTGCACCTGTTTTCATATTTGAAATGGGACAGAGCAGCATGTTACAGTACAAAAGGAATGAAAGAAATCACTGTAACTCCTAACAAGGTCAAGTGTATTTACCTTGTTGACATGTTTCGGCTGCTAGCTGCAAAACTCCACCAACATCTAGTACACCCCAAGGACAAAAATGCTACACCATATACGAAATTCACGGCAAATCAGGCAATAAATCATACAGAGGGGAAACAGGTCGGGCATTTCACATCCGAAAAAAGGAACACTAAAAGGAATGCAAAAAGGAAACATCAGGGAGACTCACCAGAACACAAAAAGATAAAGCAGAACAGGAAAACCTAAAATCCGCCATATCAGACACTGTAAAAGAAATAAACACATTATAGTTTGGGACGGGGCTCGGGTCATTGGATCAGAAAACAACAAGTTCAGGGATCAGGGAGAACGGTGAAATCTGGAAATGAGCACTGTTGGGAAAGTTACTTTTAAAATGTATTCCCCTACAGGTTACAGATTACATACCCTAAAATGTAGTTTGTAATGTAATCCATTACATTACTTAAAGTGAGTAACATAATCTGAATACTTTGGATTACTTGATATTGTCATGTTTTTTAAACCTACATGAATGTAACAACACATCCTGAAAATGCATGTTTGTTCTCCTCAAATTGTCTGTTGAGCCCAAATCTCCATGAACAGACTTTTGTTTACTGTAGAGAAGCAAAGACGAGGATCTTAACATCAGATAATTCTGTTTAAAGTAAATAAAAAGTCCAGTCTTACTTAACTGTATTCAAAATATTATTGATAGAGAAATGATTTTTATATGAGATCATTTCTGCCTTAAAGTATGTCCACCTACTGTTAGTGTCATATTGTTTAGACCTGGTTTAGTCCTGGTTTTAGTCCTGCTTTAGTCCTGGTTTTAGACCTGGTTTAGTTCGAGTTTAGACCTGGTTTAGACCTGGTTTAGAGCTGGCTTAGTCCTGGTTTTAGTCTTTGTTGAGTTCTGGTTTTAGTCCTGGTTTAGCCCAAAATGTGAAAACAGGAAAATACTGCTATGTAATCCATTTATTTCAACAAAGTAACTGTAATCCAATTACCACTCATGGTAACAGTAACTGTAACTGAATACAGTTACTCATAATTTGTACTCTGATTACGTAATGCTGGTACATGTAATCTGTTACTCCCCAACACTGGAAACGAGGCACAGACACCATTAACCGTGATGATGGATAGTTCCTCCTTTCACACACCTGGGACACCCTCCTCCAGAGAACACCGGGCGACGGGAGGCGTGGTCAGTCTGAGCGGCCTGCCAGCTCCATCGGGTATGACGCCCACAGGAAGTAACAACATCTGATATAAGACACGTCACCACCAACACCGTGACAGTTCTGAAGATGCAGCAGCAGCCGAAACATGTCAACAAGGTAAACACACTTTACTGCATTGTCTTTAAAAAGAACCCAAGAAGTTAAAGAACATAAGAAGACAAAGTGAACATCTTTGGCTTATGAAAGAAATGACATCTGTGAGTGTGTTTGAAGCTTCTAGTACATTTCTGACTTCATGAAATGGTACTAAGTAAAACACATTCAGTTTTGACTAATAATTAAAGGTTTGATTTTGTGCCACCCTGCTTCCCTGGCAGTGAGCGGGTGCTGTTATGTGAGGGAGGGGGCGGGGCCGTGTGGGGGAGGGGCGGGGCAGCAAGGGGCAGATTACAGTCTAAGCGCCCGGGCTTACAGGCAGGATTGAGAGGGCATTATGTAAGAGTAAAGCTGCGCGCACACACACAGAACCGATATGGCCTCTGTGTCCCGGCTGCTGATGCGGGTGCGGTGTAGAGCGGACCCCCGGGGACCCGCCGACCCCTGTCACCTCTGAGCCCTCTGCACCATGAAGTACAAGAAGTTCATCACCATCATGCAGGCGGCGCTCGGAGTGGCCCCACTCAACAAGAGAGAGCTCATCCCACCCCCACGCAAGCTCTGGAAGCCCCGCAGGTGACACACACACACACAGACACACACACACACACACATCCAGAGGTCAGACACACAGAGACACACACACACACACACATCCAGAGGTCAGACACACAGAGACACACACACACATCCAGAGGTCAGACACACAGAGACACACACAGAGAGGTCAGACACACAGAGGGAGAGACACACACAGAGACACACATCCAGAGGTCAGACACACAGAGGGAGAGACACACACAGAGACACACATCCAGAGGTCAGACACACAGAGGGAGAGACACACACAGAGACACACATCCAGGGGTCAGACACACAGAGGGAGAGACACACACACAGACACACATCCAGAGGTCAGACACACAGAGGGAGAGACACACACACAGACACACATCCAGAGGTCAGACACACAGAGGGAGAGAGACCCAGCTGAGACACACACAGTGACACACACACACATAGATCCACAGGTGAGACACACACAAGGACACACACACACACACACACACAAATAAATCCAGAGGTCAGAGACAGAGACAGAACTGTGTGTGTGTCTGTGTGTGTGGGTGTGTGTGTGTGTGTGTGTGTGTGTGTGTGTGTGTGTGTGTGTGTGTGTGTGTGTGTGTGTGTGTGTGTGTGTGTGTGTGTGTATGTGTGTGTGTGTGTGTGTGTGAGCAAGCAAGAGATAGACACACAAGTGTTAGAACACCTGTGTTTGTGTAGTAGTTTAAACACACACAAGTGTTAGAACACCTGTGTGTGTGTGTGTGACAGTTTACACACACATTTGTTAGAACACCTGTGTGTGTGTGTGTGTGTGTGTGACAGTTTACACACACAAGTGTTAGAACACCTGTGTGTGTGTGACAGTTTACACACACATTTGTTAGAACACCTGTGTGTGTGTGTGTGTGTGTGTGTGACAGTTTACACACACAAGTGTTAGAACACCTGTGTGTGTGTGTGTGTGTGTGTGACAGTTTACACACACACGTGTTAGAACACCTGTGTGTGTGTGTGACAGTTTACACACACACGTGTTAGAACACCTGTGTGTGTGTGTGACAGTTTACACACACATTTGTTAGAACACCTGTGTGTGTGTGTGTGTGTGTGACAGTTTACACACACAAGTGTTAGAACACCTGTGTGTGTGTGTGTGTGACAGTTTACACACACACGTGTTAGAACACCTGTGTGTGTGTGTGACAGTTTACACACACATTTGTTAGAACACCTGTGTGTGTGTGTGACAGTTTACACACACACGTGTTAGAACACCTGTGTGTGTGTGTGACAGTTTACACACACACGTGTTAGAACACCTGTGTGTGTGTGTGTGTGACAGTTTACACACACACGTGTTAGAACACCTGTGTGTGTGTGTGTTTGACAGTTTAGACACACACGTGTTAGAACACCTATCTTCATGTCATTCAATTTAAAAAGTGACTTTTTTCTTTGCGTCTCGTGTGAGACTTTTAGCGGCCGTATTATTTCTCCTGTGATGTTGCACATGTGTGCGTTGTGAGGAGCAGTGCAGCTGTTACACACACACAGATGCTGGTTTGGTTTCTGAGGATGAACTGGTTTTCAGTGGGTTCTGTCTGTGAGCTTCTTGGTCACAGTCACTGACTGGACTGTGATTTTTCAGCACTCTGATCTTGTATGTCTTGGTGACCTGTTAAATGCTGTAGTCCAGCTAAAACCGTCTCCTGCTCCTAACAGATGTCTTTGATGTAATTGGTCCTTATTTGATGATAATTATGAGCACCTCTCTGAGCTCAGGCTGTGTCTCTAGTGCAACATGCTACTGTTCAGCCTTTGCTTAAAAAATACTGTTTGGAATCTGAGGTGCTGTCAAACTATGTCAATCTCTGTTTTTGACCTCCGTTCTACTTCCCCTGGCTCTTCTCAGGAACAGATGTGATGTTTGGTGATCAACAAAGATCGCACGCATCCCTCTACAAAATATTTATCTGCTTCTAACCCTGTGTAGTTTTTCAGTTCTTGGTTGGTGTAGGACGATGTCGAATGAATGAAGTAGTTGTAAATATCTGGATACTAAAGGTCGGGCACAGAGCGAGTGTTGATTAGACTGACAAAGCTCCATCGGAATTAGATCAGGATCTATTCCACAACCCAGGATCACGACTTTAGCTTTATACCTTAATGACACTGATCTGTGGATAGTCAGACAGTTTTATGTCATTTGCACTGTTTAAAGTCGCCATGATTATATTAAAATAAACTAAATAATCCCTCCAGTATGTCTGCCAAAACATTAAATCACGTGACTGCCACGTCACGCGCAAATCCTTAACAGACCAATTTTTAAGTTGGCTTTTTTGTCAAAAGTGTTGGAAAAATTGGTCTTAGTGCAAATTCAAACCTATTTAGAGGCCACTTTGATGCGTGCGTGTGTGTAATATCGGGGATATCTGATGTCAGATATCTGTCCAATAATGGTCCAACAGCACCCATATTTTTGTGCACTGCCCCAGTCTGGGTGCCATGTGTCAGGGCCAGTTTGTCTTCACTTCAGATTTATTTGTTTAAAGATCCAATATTCCACCAAACTGGCTTTAACCCAGAATGCTGTTACGTCCTCAAAAACATGGAGATGTGTTTTGCTTCATTTAGAATCCCTTTATCCCTTTATTATTACTCTGTCTGTCATCTTCAAAATCTGAAAATACTCTGCTCCATCTTGTGATGTCATGAAGCAGTAGTTTTAAAGTTAAGCTAACTTTAACCTTTTCTTCAGTAGAGACTGACAGTTCAGGGCTGAAATCATCCAAATGATTCTAGTGAAGGTGTATGGATTTTAAAAACAAAGTAGAGCACGTCCTGTATTTCCACATGACATCACAAGGTGGAAAAGAGTGTTGTCTGTTTGAGAGAAGAACTCAACCTAAATGTGCAGGCGTTAAATATGTGTGTGTTAAACATGTGAATGACACAAAACACAAGTCCAGCTTTGTTTGTGATG